TTTTTTTTTTTTTTTTTAGGAACTCATTCATGGTTACAAAGGGCAGCTGGCCAATAAATTTAACTCATTAATCATAAGGTTAAAAAAAAAAAAAAAGGCAAACTCCATGCGATCCCAAGTGTTTGGAGGCTGCGCCGCCTCAGCCACTGCAGCTCAATGAAGTTTAGTTTTATTAAAAAAAAAAAAGAAAACAAAACACAACACTGAAATCAGCCCGATACATAAAAACCCTATAAAAAAAACAGCCAGGGGATTTTAATTTTTTTTTAAGTTTTTTTTTTTTGGCCCCTTTTTCTACTGTAAGAGTCCCTAGAATAGTAATCAAAGTTCTATTCTACATTGAAAACATAGAGTTTTAGCCATGCCGTTGCTAGCAAGTAGATTGCTGACTCAAAAAATCAACCTGACAAACCTGATATATGACAAATTCCGCTGCTTAAGGCAGTAATCAGGAAATGCTGAAGAGAAGCATGTATCTCAGATTCAACTGAACAAGGAAGAGAAAGGAATGGAAATGGCTTTGTAGTTTAGAGAAGTACTCTTTTGAATGGGTATAGGTGTTGGGGTACCCTAAGCTGCAGAGTTGGACTCCCTCTATTGCGTGTTAACTCTTACTCCATGAATTATTTTTTGCATAATGGTCCATGCACTGTGGACATGTGTGAAGTTCAGTTTCTTGAAGTACATTATTGGAGGATAACCAGGTACCTAGTAATGTGGGTAGGTAAATTAAGGAAATTGTTCTATTAGCATTAACCACTGAAATTCCAGCTTAGGTTTAACATAAACACCTAAGCACATTTTTGACTCTGAGAGACTCAGAGTAAGGGGACCCAGTCTCTTATCTCACAGTCTACACTTGAAAAAAAGCTTACCAAATCTACTTGCCCAGATAGGAACTTCCTGGCTGATAGCTGCAGGAAGTGAGAAATAATAGTTGAATCCTCATAGCTGTAGATTACCCCTTATGCAACAGTATTTCCTAAAGCCACAATTGTTCAAAGGTGTTTGTACAAAACTTTACATAAGGGAACACAGCAACAGAGTCATTCACAGTGCATAAAGTTGACAATACATGAAGTCTGTGCAGAATGGAGGCCTGAGTGAACTGCTGTGCTGAAAGTACATCAACCTCTGTGAAAAAAAAAAAAAATTAAAAAAAAAAAGAAGGTCTGATCATCCGCCTCCCTCTTTCCTTCGGGTTGCCGAGCACCTGCAGCTGCTTTTATTTTTTTTTTTATTTTTTTTTTCTTTTAATCAAGGGGTTGGGGATGCCCAGCCAGGCCGGTGGGAACCGAACCCCGAACCTCTCCCCTCCCCAAAAGGGACTGGGGAAAAAAAAATAAAAAAATAAAAAAATTTGTTAAAAATCCTTGTTTTCAGAGGGTTTTGCAAAAATAAAGCCCTCCAGGCAATCTTGTGGGATAGGTAAATATTATTCTTCCTAATTTTACAATTTTTTTTTTTTTTTTTAAAGGGAGATTGATCTTTTTGGCCAGCTCACTACGATAGAAAAATATTTCTTTGGGAGGGAGGAAGAGAGAGAGAGGCCTGGGATGAGATAAAAGATTCCTTTTTTGGGACTTTTTTTTTTCTTTTTTTTTTTTT